ATCAGGGGGCATGTACATTGTATTTTGTTTTATATACGAGTTTGAAAATCTGATTTATTTCTGAGTACTGATAAATCATTTTATGAGTTTACATGTTTTGATAAAAGTTTTAAATTTTCCGCTACTTTTACGGTGGGTTGCTCCGGTGGCCCTAACGTGACACCCCAGATCAGATCGGGTCACCCGCATCGGTCTGGGGTGTTATACCTTTAATTTTCTCTTTTAGGGTTTAATAGTTGGTTAATTCTATAATTTTTAAGGATGACAATATTTCATTATTTCGATTAAAACATAAGAAATAATTGTCTTAATTCCGATTAAGGGGTTAGTTTCTTCTTTAATTGGAAATAGAAAAATATTGTGTGTATCTGTAAAATTCTTTTAGATTTTAAATATTCTTATTTTTATGGAATAAAAGGATAATCAATTAAATAAATATTTGAATTTCTTAATTTTCAATATAGGGACAAATTTATAATTAAAGGTACCGATTTTGGGCGTTGTGGGGGTGCTAATCATTCCCCAAGCGTAATTGACTCCCGAACCCAAAATCTATTAATCACAGGCCAAATCACGTCTTTTAAATTTTTTATTTAAAAAGGTGTATCTTGGGTTTTTAACCTACCCAATGCCAAAGGTTGATGGCAACTCTAAACGTTTCAAATCTTTTCTAAAATTCAATTTTTTTTAATTTTTTTGATTTTTTCCATTCGAAAAAGTCATCGCGACAACTTGGCGACTCTACTGGGGAACTCGAACCAAAACTTTTGATTTTCTCAGAGAGTCAGACCTTAAAACAATTATACTTTGTCCCTATATTAGAAAATTAGGAAATTCAGACTTATTTCATTCCTGATTCTTTTAATTTCCCTATAATTTTCCTTCCTTTTAGATTATTCCTTTTAATTTTCTTTCGTACTCCCCTAATTCTTTTAATCAGTTGTACTAATGTATGCATTGATTGACTTTTTCAGATATTAGATATTTCCGATGCACATGCTAAACATTCATGCTTTCAATGACAAACAAGTTCAATGCATCATCAATCTCAGTACACATTAACTAAAGAAATAATCACTTTAGAGCCTTAGAATAAGAGTTAATGTACAATTAAGCCCTTATCATAAGTGAATGAACAACCACTCACATAGGCAAATTGGTGTAAACACACTAATTCACTGCCAAACAATGCTCCAGTTAAATCCTCACAACAATCACTAATTAGGCACTTTTTTTTTTATTAATTTAGGGGGATTACAACCACTGATATATCATTTAATAATAAACGCTCAAATATCATGTGCGAACCACTTAAACTTAAAGAACACAATGAGGGGCCATTAATTGCACCAAACAAAGCGGAAAATTTGGATATAAAACGGAAACAAAATTCACCAAAACACTGAAAACTTACCAATCTTGCAATTCTATCAATTAAACTCAATTGCACCTTTCTTCAATAATCTGATCAAATAAAATCACAATTTAGGTTTAGATCAATCTAAACACACAAAATAAAATAGAACACTAGCAACTCCAAAATTCTGGAGAATCACTATAGATCGAATTATTTCACTTTTAAAATCATAATCCTCTTTAACACCATTTTCAAATATGATTTTATAACCACACAAGCATCTTAAAAGTTATCAAGATTCATTAAGAATTGGAAATCATCAAAATAAAGTGAGTTAAAAGAAAGCTTCTAAAATCGTTTTATTTACAAAATAATCACTTGAAAAACAAGTGATAATCAAGATCACCTCCTGCAGGATACTTAAAGCATCCAAAGAGATGATCAATTAAAAAAGGGAAGGAACCTTACCTCTACTGGAAAATTAGATGAAGAGCTTGAGAAGAATGATCTAAGAATTGAGTAGAAGAAAACTGGAGATCAAGGTGAGCAATTGAAGGAACAATCCACCATGAAGGAAGATAAACAACAATGGAAATAAGAAGGAAAAAAGAAGAAGAGAGAAAATCGGTTGAGAAAGAGAAGAAATTGAGGAAAAGGAAAAGTGTTTGGATGAAATGGAAAAAAAATGAAAAAGACGGTTAAAATTAACTTGATTTTAGAAATTAAGATGAATTAAAATAAAGTAATATTTAAAGAAGAAGGCTCACGGAAAAAGGACTTAAAATTGGAGGGAAATGATCTTGGAGTAATTGTTTTGTACATATAGAAATTTTGATCCTTTATAATTTAGTTACTAAAATTTTAATTTTGTAAAATTCCAATTTAGTCACTTAATTAAAACCAATTTAAATCTTATAAAAATTATATTCAATGATATAAAAATAATATTCTAATATTTTTTAAATATTTCCCATACTAAATTTAGAAAATACAATTATTCCACAAATTAAAAAATTACTTGAATCGTAACTAATTTTACTGAATTAAATTTTGAAATGTTACAATATTCAAACAGTTTTAGGTGTTATCCCCCCTTATTTATAAGAGGGCCCATTTTGGGAATCAGAATTCCAAATATTTAGCTTTTTTCTTCTTTAAGTTTTTATCGTTTTTTCAATTCTCTATTTAAAATAACAAAGAATGTTATGGTTGAACGAACATCATCTCCTGTAAAGGATGTGTCTTTCATATACAGAGTTGGTCGCATCGAAGTTAAAAATCTTATACTGAGTCAAGGTTTATTGTGGGAGAATTTTAGGTATACAAAGTTGGTCGCATCGAAGCTAGAAATCTTATACTGAGTAAGGTTTATTGTGGGAGAATTTTAGGTACAGATTTGAGATCACATCTTGGAAATGTTGCATTAGTAACTACATCAAATTCTACGACGAGGATCGAGAGTGGTTTTACTTTCCCTTATTTTCTTTGAAGGCAATGTTTCATCTCCTAGTGTACCATTTCTTAAGGGATGTGTTGAATGATTATGAGATTGCTCCACATTTACTGCACCAGCAATTGATAGGAACACATTTTAATCGTCGACCGTGAGAGATTCATCCCTTTTGATTTAAGTAGAGTTTTGATTGACGAAAAAATGATCGTTGGTCAACGTTCTTCTATTTCTAGAGGAAGATAATTTTATAAAAAGGGTGAGAAACTTGGAGAATAAGAAATCTCTTTTTCGATCTTGCTCAATGTATAAATATAGCGATAGTAGGATGGCTGATACTAGACCATAAGCATCATAACTATCAATAAGTTGTTAGTTTATGCAGATACAATTGTCAGACATCAAATTAATTTAATTGTCAATATCTCATCATAAGGTAGTGAAGGAGAACTTCGAGTGACCATTTGGATAGGGTAGTTCTTAAGGTTTTCGAAAGTTCAATTGGTTAATGTTCTAGGCGAAGTGTCAGCATTCTCTGATTACTTTAATGTATAACAATTTTAATAATAATTCAAATAGTAATGATTTCTCATGTCTGAAGCAATTAATTTATAAAAAAAATTAAATGAATAGTTATTAAATTATATCATTAAAAGATAAATCTACAATAAATATCACACAACGAAATAAATCATTAATAACATAGATTGATGTACGTTACTCATATAAAATAGAATAAAATTCATAGTTAATCATTAAATTTTATTAAAATTGTTTTATTTGTTATTATATTTTTAAAAATTATAAAATAAATATTAAATTCTAGATTTTGTAAAAAAAATGGACACCGACCCTTATGTATTTGAGTCCTTAATTACAACTAAAATTTTATTTTGATACATGTTTTCAATATTTAAGTAATAACTCCAAAAAAATTATAAAATTAACTAAATTTATATAAAAATATTTATAAAATTTAAAAATTTATTTTATTTTAAAATTATAATCTTGTGATTTCTTTAATTTCGTCAAATTAGTTTATAACTAATTATATAATTTAATTGTTATATTGTATTTTTTATTTTTTTTATTTTTTTCATATTAAAAAATTTCAATTATCATATAATGAAATTATTATTTTTTATTAAGTGATGTGATTCAAGTTTTTAACTTTTTTTAATAAGTTTAAATACAATTTAAAAATAATAATCCAAAAAAATCGTAATATCACATTAATAAAAAAATATATGCAAACTTAATTAAAATAATTAAAATAATTCTTAATTTTTAATAATATATCAAATAATTTATATTATAAAAAATCAATATTTATAATATGACATTAAAAAATAATATATAATCTTTATGTATATTTTATTTTTAATTCAATGAATTTAATAAAAATATTTTAATTAAAATTTTAATAAAATTTTAATTATAATTAAAGAATCAAATAAGATATTTTAAATTAATTTAATATGTTATATAACCTATTTAATGATAATTAAGACATTTTATTCATTTTATAAAAAAATCTAAAATTTAATATACATTATATAAGTTTTGAAAGCTTAATGTTTAGAAAGATATTCGTATATAATTTAATAATAGTTTGTAAATTTATCTTATAAAATTAAGGGCAAGTTACGTATTTAGTATCTAAACTATTATTTTTAGTCCGTTTTAGTATTTAAACTTTTAAATTTTTTAAAATTATACTTAACATTTATTTTTATTTCATTTTAGTATCATGCCTTATCAATTTTGACCAGTTTTAATACCTAATTTTTCAAATTTTCAAAACTTAATGTTAAATTTTGAACATGGTTACTAAAATGAAATAAAAACTAAAGTTTTCAATGGTGAGTACTAAAATTAAACAAAAACTAAACTTTAGGTATAGTTTTGAAAAAAATTAAAAAACTTAAGTACTAAAATAGATCAAAATGATAGTTTAAATACTAGAAGTGTAATATACCCTAAAATTAGTTGAGAATATCAATAACATTCTTTCCAGAACTTTTATTATTAAAATTTAACTTATAAACTAATTACAAACCAATTCTGACAATCCCAAATTACAAAACGATCCTTTGTCAACTTCGCCCCCCCTACCCCCCTCCAGAAAAAAAAAAAATAAAGAAAGAAAGAAAGAAAACTGAGCCTAAAAAACAACGAAGCAGTCAATGAAACAAATTGAAAAATGAAAGCTACACTTCCACTTCAAGTTCACAATAATTGTCCACTCTTCGTGTCAACAACCAAACACCAATAAATTCAAAGATCACCCTTTTCTCTCTCAGAAAATCCCAAAGAAATTAAAATCAATCAAGATGCTACACTTTTATCTAAAACCCCATTGTAAATTGAGTTTCTTGGTATTGCTATTATGGGTTTCTCTGCTAGTTGATTCAAATTCTGGGTTTGAGTTAGATGATTCATTGACTTATATTTGGCCTTTGCCATCTGCGTTCACTTCTGGCAATCGAACCTTCACTGTGGACCCAACTTTATCTTTATCTGTCTTGGGGAAAGGTGGGGACTCCAAGATTTTGAAGGAAGGATTTGAGAGGTATAAGAAGATTATATTTAAACATGCTTCTGAGATTTCACTTTTTCAGAAGTTGAGAGGGATAAGTTTTGTGTATGACATTAGTGAGCTGAGAATCATTGTAAATTCAGACAGTGAAGAGGTAAGTTGAAAACTTGTTTTTGTTCCCCCCCCCCCCTTTCAAGTTCACTTAAAGTTTATAAATATATGTGCATGTATATATTGATGATTTTTTGGGCTCTAATTATGGCAGCTTCAATTGGGTGTGGATGAGAGTTATACTTTGTTTGTGGCAAAGAATGACGGGAAATCTATTGTCGGAGAGGCAACAATTGAGGTGAAGTTTGAGTTTTTTTAGGTTTGCTATATTTATTTTCCGGAAATTCTAAAATACAATTTGTTAATACTAAAAAACGGCAGAAATCGGTTCCAACCGAAAATAGTTGGATAGAGTAACCTTTTAGGTTGAAAACCCTAAATCCCGGCAATGTAACTTTTTAGTTGCAGCTGAAAAATATTACAAATTTATGTAACTTTTTAGGTTGAACAGTGAAACATTTTAGGTTGAAAACCACCTTATTTAAGGTTGCCGCATGGCAGAACTATCCATTTATTATCTAAAGAATTTGTATCTACTTTTCATGACTATTGCAAATTTTGTTAGTTGCATGTCTGCAATTTGTTTTCAGATGGTTTTAGCTTTGAAGTTTGATCATTGTGGTCTGACTCGTGTTTCTGGCATGCATCCGACACTTGCCACTATACTCGGAATAACATGGTCTCTTAGTTGTGTGGTTTTTTGGCCAACACTTAGTAGTCTCCTTAGTTCAATAAGTGTATGGCATTCCGTGGTGTGAGTATACTGTGGAAATGCACTTTCTTACTGGTAGTCTCTTTAGAAGGTTCTGATCATGTATGCTTAGTTTGTGATTTTTCTGATTCAAGTTTAAAATTCATTTCTACCAATCTAAACTATTTCGGCTGATTAGTGAACTTGAAATCTCGCATTAAGTGATTGTGCGATGACATCTGATATCCACTGCTCTGTTTCTTGTAATTTTTGCAGGCAAATACAGTTTATGGTGCATTAAGAGGGCTGGAGGTCTGTGATAAATCCTTTACTCCTATACCATTTATTGTGTGTATATAATCTATTGATTTTATTGTTCTTAATTGTAAGTGACGGCTATAATTGTTGATCAAAAGCATAACGATAATTAGGTGAAATATACTCCTCCCTAACACGTCTCGAGACCTTCACTTGTATATTGATGACATGAGTTCCTACCTCTTTTTTGGATTTTTTTTTCTCAGAATTATCTGCTCCTTAAGCCACATGCTTGTGATGCATTAGATTGAAGTCTTATATATGTCTTCTTCACATGTTATTCTGTTTTACAATGTTACAGACATTCAGCCAATTGTGTTCATTCGATTACGATACTAAATCGGTGCAAATATACAAAGCACCATGGTACATCAAAGATAACCCAAGGTTTGCGTTTCGTGGGCTTTTGCTTGGTAAGCCTCTCTTCCATTATTTTCCTTTTAGATAACAATTTCTGGAATAGTTCTCGATTCAGTTGTACATGCTTTTATGTGGCAGATACATCAAGGCACTATCTACCAATTGACGTCATTAAGCAGATAATTGAATCCATGTCTTATGCTAAACTTGTAAGAAATGCTACTATCTGTTATTTTCTGTTCAATCCTATATTTTCAAAGTTGAAGTTCATTTGTGTGCTTATGATATTATTGCGCATCTTTATATCTTGTGTCTTTTACATGTCATTCCAATACCACGAATCGCATTCATTAGAATGTCCTTCATTGGCACATCATAGACGAAGAGTCATTTCCTCTAGAAGTACCTTCATATCCAAAATTGTGGAATGGTGCTTATACAAAATGGGAGCGCTATACGGTTGAGGACGCAAGTGAAATTGTTAGGTATGATACAATAAGTCCTGGAATACATTCCTTGCTACAAAACTTCTAAATGCTCCTTTGATTTGCATGCTTATTTATATCTCTAAATTAAGAAATTTCGCCTCTACATATTATTTCATGCATCTCATAAATTTGCTAATTATGTGCTTCTGTTTCATATCTTCATGCACAAATGGTGAAGCTTTGCAAAACTGAGAGGTGAGAATCTTTCACTTCCATTGAAAATAAATTTTAGCCATTTTCTTGGGGTCTAACTCTGACCCTATATTACTTGGACTTGAGAGAGTCAAAATACAAAATGTGCCCAAAACGAGTATGCTCAGTTTTTCTAATTTTCCTGAGGTTTGGAGGATCCTTGAAGGATCTTATCTCTAAACGTACATCAGGATATGTGTCAAACGGGATTATCTAAAAATAAATAATAATAATAACAACAAAAAGCAGTAGCAACATAGCTCTTCACACTGTTTTCCTTTAAGATGGGTAGTTATGTAATGCGAATTTAACAATAAATGCATGGTGTAAACACTGCTCATCTCATGCTATCTGTATTGGCGATTACTTATTATTTCTCACCATGCTTGTCAGGCATCCATGTAATGGCAGAAGTAGATGTCCCTGGTCATGCCCAGTCATGGTAAGTTGCTTTGTAATGCCAATATTCTCTTAGTTTGAGAGACTCCAAATGCATGAAACTTCATTTTGAGTAATTGTATTTGCATAGTTCATCGAATGGTAGTTGAATCTTCTCAACTTCCTTCCCCTTTCCTAATCTTGCAGTGAGGACATAGTTTCTTGGCTAAACATAGCCAAACTATATCTTGAATGGCGGGCAATATGAAAGATTTCAGATTTTTACTTTTTAATTTCAATAAAAGAAATGGAAATGTTTTATCTTAATTTGCATTTTGAGTTTTATATTTCTTATTGAGTTCAGTTGTTTATTAAACACAGATATAAACTAACCTTAGTTTTATGTAGGGGAGCTGGGTATCCTGATCTTTGGCCTTCTTCTTCCTGCAGAGAGCCACTTGACGTTTCAAAAAAATTCACTTTCGAATTGATTTCTGGCATTCTATCAGGTTAAAATCCGCAAAAGCCTTTTTCTTGGTAGTATTAGTCATTTTCCACAACTGCACTAGTTTAGTGGATTGAAAACAATCTTTTCGATGTGCTAATATTAAGAATCATGGTTATGAACTTTATGTTGTTGCGTAGATTTACAGAGCGGGTAAGTTTAGGCATAGATGGCTAGTTTTTTTTTTTTTGTCAAGTTGCAGTCAACTGTCGACATGTTTAGTCATCTAAGTCGAATAATTTTAGGCAAAATGATTCTAAAGCAGTTTCCTAATATAAAATTCAGTCAAGCTTCAAATTTAGGTCTTGCATCCTATGAATGAAAATCACTTCATGCAGGATCTTGATAACCTGGAACTACATATTTAATTTCATTTATTTAGGAAAATATATTAATCATAACATAAATTATAAAATAATGTAAGAACGTGTTTTTAACATAAATTATAACATCAACTAATTGAGGGGCCAAATTAAGAATTTATCTATATGGTACTCAAGGCAAGACAAATATTAAGCCTTTCTAAATTCTTAGGAAATTTTATTTAGATTTCAGAATATTATTTTTGACTATGACTTTAGGTAAAAATATAACTTCAGCTTTCATTTGGGGTTAGGTACTACATGATAATCAAAAGTTTTTAGTTTGAAAATTTTAAACATACTATTGGTTTGATATATAAAACATTTTGACATGTAAAAATTTGTACAATCTATGCTGAAAAAATATATAGTATATACAATCTTTAATACTTTCAGCATGCCAAAAAGTAATGAAAATAGATTCACACATTTTTTTTTCTAAATATAATTTGATATTACATATTATGTAAAATGATAGATGAACTCAAACATAAAATAATATGAATACAAAAATATTTTAAAATTAAAGTACTACCACAAACTATACAGAATACACACAACATGAAACTTAACATGAGCACGACATGCATATCAAATGTACCAAAATTCAGGTTTATACTTTATGTTCTAAGTTGATGTTATAATTGATGTTAAAAATATGTTATTATATTATTTTATAATTTATGTTATGATTGATAGATTTTCATAAAACAAAGGAAATTAATTTCAACCACAGTTTAACAAAAATATCATTTTTGTCAACATTATCACAACTTTTTAGCTTGGCTTAGTGATTAGGTGTTGGATCCCCTCTCTAAGTTCCTTGGTTCAATCCTTATTAAAGTCGTACATATTTTTCTCATTTGCTATGTAGTTTATAATTGAAATTTTCTTTTACAGATATAAGAAAAAATTTCCCATTTGAGCTCTTCCACTTGGGTGGCGATGAGGTTCATACAGGTTGGTGGATTTGATATCTTCTTGATAACCGACATTTTCGTTATCTCTTTGTTAAAAACACGAATGTGATATTGCCACTTCTTAGATTGAAAGGAGAATTTCCCACTGTGCTTCTCCTTTTAAGTTACTTGACTAAATTCTTCCCAAGTTTTTTCATGCATATGAAGGTTCCTTGGAGGGTTATATTTCATACTCATACCTGGATATATGTTGGATACTAGTGTTGAACGTAGGTAGTTTAAGAGAAAATGATAGGTCCTAGTTACATAGCATGCAAGACCGTGTTACAATGACACAAACCAGAACTGAAACTATACACGTGCTCGTATAGTCATTGAAAGCTTTTAAAATTTACGTCTTTAAATTTTTGAGTGATAATTCATATCATTATTTCACTATATTACATATCATTAGTGACCAAAGCATCTGAGGGATTGACCACAGTATCTGTATTTATGGAATTAAGTGTGAGTTTGTGTGTGATAGCTGCTATATCTGTCATCGACTTTGATTTTATCTTTAAAAGCGTTACATCAGCTGTTCGAGTTTTTGGTGCAGATTAATTTGCTTAAATAAATGAGTGGAATCGCTTTTCTACTATTTTTGCAGTTATTTTCATGCTTTGTTATACGTTTAGTTCTGCCGTACCTAATTTTATAATAATAATTTTATTAATATTGGCACTCATTGTTTTATCAGATTGCTGGACCTCTACTCCACACATAAAGCAGTGGTACATGCCTAACTCTTACTTGTTGATCAATACTTCTTTATATGCCGATTCACATTCAGAGTAGCTTCTACATCGATTGATTTTGACAAGAATAATACTAATTCAGCCGTTCATTAATTTCGGGGATTAAGTTGTAACCTCTTGATTCAAGCTGTGCCTTCTTATTAACTAATCTGATGAAAATGAATTTCAGGCTCAACGACCACAACATGACTGCTAAAGATGCATATCAATATTTTGTACTCAAGGCTCAAGAAATTGCGATCTCGAAAGACTGGACGCCTGTCAACTGGTGTGTCTTTTATCCATGCTCTGCAATTGTTGTTTAATGTTTTATGCAATACATAGGATTTGGGTTTTTCGTGTATGGCAAGTTATTTGGTCTAGCCCCACTTCTTCTCACTAAGTTCTCAATACAGTAACTTAAAAGTTGTCAGATGTAGTAAAATAATAGGTAAAGTACACAAATGGTCCCCCCGACTATAGGGTGATGTTTTGTTGAGACCACGACTATTAAAAGTTACAAATTTGTCCTCGACTATAGGGTGTTATTTTGGTGAGTCCCCACGACTATTCATATATTCCAAATTCGTCATTTTCTGTTAAAAAATTGATGTCAGCCTGAATTGAACATTAACCTGCTGACTGAGATATGATAAAATTTGATCCCAGAATCTCAAAAAACTATACAACCCAAACGATTTTGGGATCGGATTTTATCATATTGCAATCAACATGTTAACTTTCACTTCAGACGACTGTCAATTTTTAACAAAAAATGACGAGTTCAAAACAAATGAATAGTTAGGTGACCATTTCATAACTTTTAATAGTCGAGAGACTTAACAAAGCAATACCTTATAGTCGAGAGATCATTTTGAACTTTTAATAGTCGAGTGACTCAACAAATCAGTGCCCTATAGTCTGACTTCCATGTCCAATGCATTACTGGACCTATAGTCGAGAGATCATTTTGAATAGTTAGGTGACCATTTCATAACCTTTTCTATAAGGACCTATGTCTAACTTCCATGTCCAATGCATTACTGGACATGTATATGGCTATACAGGGATATGACCTTCTAAATACATTATAAAACTTCGAAAAATGTTAGGCCCCCGATATTTGTCCGACTCACAAACCCATGTACAAGTAACTTAAGATGAAATCGGTATATTATTTCTATATGCCTATTCCTCATTGCAGGGAAGAAACCTTCAATTCTTTTTCATCAGAACTTAGACCACGGACCATCGTACACAACTGGTGAGTTTTAAGCCTTTTTTTAAAAAATAAAATAAAATAAAAAGTTTATCTGGAAAGGTTCGTACCAAGAGGTGTTACTTTGTATATCGAGCGTGAATGATTTAGTCTAAAATGCTAGGTTGGGTCCTGGGGTTTGTCCGAAGGCCGTTGCGAAAGGATTCAAATGCATTTTCAGCAATCAAGGTGCTTGGTATCTTGACCATCTAGATGTTCCTTGGAATGAAGTTTACAGTGCGGAGCCACTAGAAGGAATAAACAATGTGTCCGAAGAAAACCTTGTTCTCGGAGGGGAAGTTTGCATGTGGGGTGAGACAGCTGATGCATCAAATGTTCAGCAAACAATATGGCCTCGAGCTGCTGCTGCGGCAGGTACATTATACACTTAGAGTTATTAAAATCCGAGTCTTTATTTAACATTGTTATCATCTTACAACTATAAATGTTTGAGTCATGCTTTCCTTTCTCGAGACAAGTTCACTTCTCCACCAATACCCCATCTTGACCCGAAACACGAACAAGTAAATATCAGGCCAAGGATGTAAAAGATCTTAAAAGCATAATTTCATTAGGTGCCCTCCAGGGGATCCAATAAAATTAGGGGTAAAGCACACAAATGGTCACTCGATTATAGGGTTTTGTTTTGTTAAGTCTTCAACTATTAAAAGTTACAAAAATGGTCCTTCGATTGTAGGACATTACTTTATTGAGTCCCTCGACTATTAAAAGTTACAAAATGATCACTCGATAATTCTTATGGTTCAATCTTGTTCTTTTCCGTTAAAAAAATTGACGGCCATCTAAGCTAGACGATAAATCAATAACATGTTGAATGAGATATGATAGTCGTTTGAGATATTGGATTCATATTTTATCAGATTCCAGTTAGCAGGTTAACACCCAACTAGACATTCAAAATTTTTTAATAGAAAGGACAAGTTTGGAACATATGAATAGTCGGGTGACTATTTTATAACTTTAAATGGTCATTGATTCAACAAAGCAACGGCCTATAGTCGAGAGACTATTTTGTAAATTTTTAATAGTCAGAGGATTCAACAAAGTAGCACCCTATAGTTATTGACCATTTGTGTACATTGCCCTGAAATTAGTGATTACATATTGGGTTTTTACCGACGTACTCCGTCACTTTTCTATTTTCAAAAATCATGTTCAATGGGTTGTCCAGGTTAAACATGTTTGATTTATGATGTTTGGATGGAAAGATTTATTTATTTTCAAAATGGGATGTTGTTCTTTTTTTTGTCCTAAACATTTCATTTTATGACTTTTGGTTCTCCATATGTTCTCTTTTAGATGTTCATTCAATAAAGATGATTTCTTGGATTACATCTGTTAAACTTAACCGCATCATGCATATTAGACAACTACATCACCCTTTCTGGCTTCTTATAGTTGGCTGCATTCAGAATATATTTCATTTAGATTCAGCTAAGCATTTACAGCAAGCAACTAAACTGTGTGTTTCTGCATATCGTGTTGGATTCAATTGTTAAACTACCTTTTATCCACACAGTCCGTTTAATTATTTCGATTGCATTTTCATCAAGTTCTTGATATCATTTTGCTTCCAACTTGGCTTGTTACAGAGCGTTTGTGGAGCAAAAGGGAGGCTGTATCGGTACAAAACGTTAATTCAACCGTATTGCCAAGGTACCATTACTTCAGATGCCTATTGAATAGGCGCGGGGTTCAAGCCGCTCCTGCCACGAATTATTATGCTCGAAAGCCTCCGACCGGTCCAGGATCATGCTATGAGCAATAGTCATGCAGTTCGATACTTGTCGGATTGATCCAGAGCTGTCTGTATCTGCTATTGTATATGTTAAAAAAGTGCATTTAAACCCTTGAAGTTTCGTGATTTCTGCATTTTCAAACAATCCACCGGTGTCCATTTCATATGGTATGCTCTTGTACATGTTAAACGTACACTCAGGAACTTAAATTGTCTGTGCTTTAGACGTTTTCAAGCAATATACTTGTATTCATTTCATGTTGTGCTATATTTTATTTCGATGTTGGAATCATCTCGCTGAATTTAAATGTATACCTGTTTGTCTTGTATAAATACCGTTGATAATGTTTGGTAATTTTTTTTTAATTTCTCAGATTTTTAACTGTTAGATAAATAGACGGAAAATATAAAATAGAAAAAAATATTTATAAAAAGAGTTATTCTCATTATTGGATCGGTATATTTCTTTGTCATGTAGAGGTGTTCCCGGTTAGATGCATCTTTAAATTGTCTTTATAAGGCGCTTATCATAAGAAGTATCTTTGTCTTGAGGTGATACTGACCAAGTGTTTCAGAGACTACAAAATTCGAAAAAGTTGGAATGCAAAAAGTGTCTTCTCGGTTGCATTCTCATGTCCTTCCACCTCTCCCTGTAAAAAGTTCACTCCCCTCGTATAAAACACAAAAAAAAAAACAAAACAAAACTTTTTAATCCTATACAAAAAGATCGAAATGCAATTTGAGTTTTTTATCAGTTTCAATTAGGGGTAAGCATTCGATCGAGTAGAGTCGAGTAAAATTTTTTTGAGTTATTCGAATTGACGAGTCCTATTTTATAACTAGGGATTGACTTAAAATTTTTAAGCCGAATCGAGTTAAATTTTCGAGTTTCTATTTAAAACAAGTTTTATTTTACTGCTATTGAGGTACCAACACAGGTGGAAGGAACTCAGTGTGACACGAATACCATGCGATATGGTGAAGAGACTATTAGTAAACAAGTTAAATTTCGTGATCCTGTCAGCAGTAGTGAGATGGATTATCCTGATACTGAGGGACCCCAAATTGAAAGAGAACCTCCCTCCAATTGGGGTTCAGGAAACTCGCCCCAGTTTCTCTTATCCTGCTTTTCTGCCACCAGTTCTTAAAGAGCCTTCATCTTCTTTTTATGAGGGTAAGCAATTAAATTTAATATAAATATTTATAATATTATAATATTATTTGATTCTAATTTAAATAATATTTTATAATAATATATAATACATATATATTTTCTTATATTTTTTCATATGTGATTTACATATACCATACAAAGTCAAGGGACTCAATGCCAACTTCATTCAAACTTGAAAATCAATCTACTAATTACTAAAAAAATTTGAGTTATTCGAGTTGTATTTTACAACTTGATTTGAACTTGAAACTTTTTCGAGTTGAGTTGAGTTTATGAAATTACAACTCGAAGTCAAGTCGAGTCGAGTTTTTCTCAACCCTAGTTTCATAATTAATTAGTATTTATTTATTTTTTTTATTTATTTATTTTTTATTTATTTAGTTATTTAATTTATTAGTATTTTGATTATTATATAATTTTAAATAATTATTAGATTTTTTTGTGTAATTAATATATTTTTGTAAGGGATTTATTTTTACTTTAATAATGATATTTTTATAATTATTTTATTAATATTGCCTAGTTAAAAATGTAAACACTTAGATTAGATATAGATCATATTTTGACATTTTGACTCATCAACCACATTTGATAAGTAAATTATTATTTTTTTATTAATTAAATTTATTAATTATTAGTTAATACTATATTTTAAATATATTTATTTTAAATTAATAAAATGACATCGTATTCTCAAACTATTTGTTCATAATATAAAGATATCTCTTCACGACCGAATTATGAGATACTTTAAGTCAAGTTGAATTTGAGTACATTCTTCGAGTGCTCTGAGATTGAAAACTACAACCAATTTATTTCTACACTCGTTGAGAGGTGGTGATCAGACACACCTTTTATTTTGTGTGCAGAGTGCACAATCATTTTGGAAGATATTTCACTCTAGTTAGGACTCTTGGTTGATTAACATTTTTTGTTCGGTAGGAGTGTTGATTATTGAGCTGCTATGAACTACATCTTTCTTAGAAAGGTCCCAAATGAATTCATCGTGGTTGAATCTCATTGGCATGATTCAATTAAAACTTCAACGACTTGGACGAAGACTACTCTGAAGAGGACTATAAACATTCACATGTGCTTACATTTTGTGGGTTATAAGGGGATTTTCATGCCCAACACATCCCACAATCAAGTGAATGAAATATGATTACATAACCTCATAGACTTTAGAGAAACAAGTACATTTAGTTGGGGATCGATAATTTTGGTATTTATTTTCAGAGAAATGTGTAGGGAGGCCGACCTGAGAAAAAAATATTATTGATGAATGCATCTTGCTTTTCCAGTCTTGTGCATGACATCACATACCTTTTCGATGTCCATTCATCTTCCCTTTCGTAGCTATGTAATTTCATTTTTTTTCATTTGAAAAGTAAATAAGTCATTATTAGAATTACAATTTCAACATGTTAATGTAAATATCTTTTCCTCCTGAACAGATGACCATCAAACTTAGATCATCATGGTGTACTAGACAAGCTTCGAGATATTAGGTTATTAATCGAGTAGAAAACAGGAGCAGAGGTGTGTGTTAATAACTAAAATTTTCATATTAGTATCATGATAAACGGACACTCTTTTATTAGTTTGTCAAACCCCAATTTTGATGTTAGAAGTTTAAAAAAACAATTCAGTTAATTAAAGGGAATTTTTAATTTTGAAGAGCCTAATTATCAATAATTTGGAGTTTTAGGACCCAGTTGAATCAAAATAAAAATGGTTAAGGACTAAAATGAATAGATTCATAATATGTGTCCAAATTAGAAGCTCGAGGACTAAACTAAATAGATTTCACAATTTACGAAAATTTTCATGAACTTTAGAAAGTCTAAGGTCATACTTGACAATTTCCTCAAAATTCGGTTGGTATAAATAGCAACTTATCCATATAATCTCCTCCCCTCCTGTTTTCAAAATTCCAGTCATCAGTTGGAAAATTGTTCTTTAGAATTTATTTTTTGTTCCACCCCAATTGTCATACTCTGTCATTGTTTGCTTTCGTTCATCATGATTTTGGGCTTAAGAGAATTGTCTTGAATCTTTATACTTAGTGGTACTTCAAGGCATAGGTTAGAGTTTGTTTGTCGCCTTTTCTAGAGGGTTTGCAAAGAGTTTCTATCACGTCACCATCGTAGCAAACCAAGAGAAAAGCCCTGATTCTTCTCAATTCTCATTCTCATTTTTATTTCTTTATTTTCTTTTATTTTCCCTTGCTCTAAACCATTGAAAACCACCACCAGACCCTCTTACCTTTTCTGCTCCATCACGACGCTAGTAACCACCTTGAACCTTTGCTACCGTCCAGAACAAACTCAACCCTAGTCCAACAGTTTGTTTAGCGCAACAACAATTTTGATGCTAGAAGTTTTTAAGGAAATAATTCAGTTAATTAAAAGGAATTTCTAATTTTGGAGGGCTTAATTATCAATAATTTAAAATTTTAGGACTCAATTGAATCAAAATCAAAATATTTAAGGACTAAAATTAAAAAATCCATAACCTAATGTCCAAATTATAATCTTAAGGACTAAACTAAACACAAGGCAAAGTTTGGGAAAAATATCGTGAACCCTAAAGGTCAAACTTGATAATGTCTTCAAAATCCGGTTGGTATAATACCACTCCCCCCCCCCCAAATAAATAAATAAATAATCTTCCTCTCATGTTTTCAAAATTCCGACCCTTAGTTTGAAAATTGTTCTTTAGAATTTGTGTTCTGTTTCACCCCAATTGCATACTCTATCATTGTGTGTTTTCTTTTATAGTGATTTTCGGCTTTAAAGAATTTTCTTAAATCTTTATGCCAAATGGTACCTCGAGGCATAGGTTAAAGGTCATTTGACGCCTTTTCTAGAGGGTTTGTAAAGAGTTACTGTCGCATCACCATTGTAGCAAACCTAAGGAAAAGCCTCGATTCTTCTGAATTCTCATTCTTATTCTCATTTCATTTCTATTTTCTTTGCTGACCCATCACGTCAATAATAACCACCTTGAACCGTAGCTGTCGTGTAACACCCAATATTTGGCCACATAGGATGACCCGAGTAATATGACTGTACATTAGATTTCAAATTTAATCTGACAAACTAACTCTAATCATACATACCAAGAAGAAATAAATTTAAATAAAATTTATCGTAGGAAGCACAAGAACGAAATATCAACCATCAAGCATTGACCACTTGAACAATCAAACATCGCATGATAAACGCATTTAACACTATAGGGGTAAACTAGTCATTGCATACTTCATTATCGATTAAATGTTAAAAATCTAAATTCACTTCACCGATATTTGTTATTAATCTTTAATTAGTCACGTACAAATTTTTAGCTTAATCAGACTTTATTTAGAGGCCTAATTAAACATACTTGTATAGGGACTAAATTCAAAACACGCATATGAAAAGCAAGCATTCAATTTGCCGTTCCATTATGTAATTAGACATAATAGAGGGTGACAAAACAAACTCAGACAAACCCAATTTAAATCTAAATATTAATTAGAGAAACATATTTAAGACTAATTTGAACCCATATAAACATTCTGAGGTTAAATTAGGACTTATGGCACATTTAGTACCTTTAATAAATCAAAATTTATCATTTTTAGTGAACCAAAACTCAAGGGATCAATCCTTTTACACGGGAGATTGGTCCTTGGAAATGTAGTAGCAAGGGATCGATTCATTCTAACAAAAGATCAATCCTTTTTTTTTTTGGGAAAATTGCATAAATTCATTTAAACAAGCAAGAACATGCCACCAAACTTTCATGCAATCGATCCTAGGGTCTATAATCATCCTTGTACATACTTGAACAATTTAGAACATGTCAAAATACACATGTTAAATGCTTCATAACATCAATTAGCACATTAATCATGCATTAGTTATTCAAAGTAAAAAATTACATAAAAAGTCAATTTAACCACAAGTCATCTATCCATTTTGTGCATTATTGGTCATTTCCTTCATTCTAAAGGCCTAACATATTATTTTCACTTATTAACACTTGTGTAAATGATCAAAACACTTGATTAAGGCACATAACAACATTTGATC